ATCAAAGACTCAACACCATTCCCAATAACTACAAAGACAATAAAATACCTAGGAATATATTTAACCAAGGGGGTGAAAGATCTCTACAGGAAGACTGTGAAACCTTGAGGAAAGAAATCACAGAGGATACAAACAAATGGAAAACATATCATGCTCATGAATAGGCAGAATCAACATTGTTAAAATGTCCATACTACCAAAAGTGACTTACAAATTCAATGCAATCCCCGTCAAATTACCACAGGTATATTTCACAGATCTAGAAAAAATAATTCTATGTTTCATTTGGAACCAGAAAAGAGCCCAAACAGCCAAAGCAATCTTAAGTAAAAAGAACAAATGGAGAGGCATCACATTACCAGACTTCAAACTATACTACGAGGCTATAGTAACCAAAACAGCCTGGTATTGGTACAGAAATAGAGACATAGACCAATGGAACAGAATAAAAAACCCGTATTTAAAACCATCTACCTACAACCAACTGATCTTTGTGACAAAGCAGACAACAATGTACACTGGGGAAAAGAAGTCCTAGTTAATAAATGGTGCTGGGAAAATTGGATAGCCACATGCAGAAGAATGAAACAGGACCCCTACTTCTCACCACTCACAAAAATTAATTCAAGATGGATAAAAGACTTAGATCTAAGTCACAAAACCATATGAATTCTAGAGCAAAATGTAGGAAAACTCTTCTTGATATCAGCCTAGACAATTTATGACTAAGACCCCAATGACAATCACTGCAACAACAAAAATAAATAAATGGGATTTGATTAAACTAAAAAGCTTTTACACAGCTAAAGAAATAATCAACAGATCAAACAGACAACCTACAGAATGGGAGAAATTATTCACAAGCTACACATCCGATAAAGGGCTAATAACCAGAATTTACAAAGCACTCAAGCAAATCAGCAAGAAAAAAACAAACAACCATATTAAAAAGTGGGCAAAAGACATAAACAGAAGCTTCTCGAAAGAAGACAAACGGCTAGTAAACATATGAAAAAATGCTCAACATCACTAATCATCAGGGAAATGCAAATTAAAACCACAATGAGCTATCACCTTACCCCAGTCAGAATGGCTTTTATTAAAAAGTCCAAAAACAATAGATACTGGCGTGGATGCAGAGAAAAAGGAACGCTTATATACTGCTGGTGGAACTGCAAATTAGTACAACCCCTATAGAAAACAGTATGGAGATTCCTCAAAGAACAAAAAGTAGATCTACCATTTGATCCAGCAATCCCGCCATTGGGTACCTAACCAAAGGAAAAGACGACTTTTCATGAAAAAGACACCAGCACTCAAATGTTTATTGTAGCACAATTCACAATTGCAAAGATGTAGAATCAACCCAAGTGCCCATCGATTCATCAGCAGATTAATAAGATGTGGTATATGGACACCATGGAGTACTACTCAGCCATAAAAAGGATGAATTAATACCTTTTGCAACAATCTGGATGGAACTGGAGACCATTCTCCTAAGTGAAATATTTTAAAAATGAAAAACAAACACCGCATGTACTCACTATTAAATTGGGACTAACTGATGAGCACACATGTGCACAGACAGAAGTAAAACTCAGTGGAAATCAACCAGGAGGAAGGGGGAAGGAAGGGAGGGGAAAAAGCCTACATAATGGGTACTATGAACACTATTTGGGTCATGGGCACACCTATAGCTAGGACTCAAGCATTACAAAAGCAATCCATGTAACCTAAAACATTTGTACCTCCTTAATATTTTGCAATAAAAAAAAAAAGTAAGTTAGCAAGTGAGAAGGGCCCTTGAGACTACATTCCTTATCCTGGCTAGGGGACAATTAGGAATTTATGTGCAAAAGGAGCCTGCAGAGAAAGATGTGGAGTCAGAATGTCAAGGAAGGCAAGAGCTTGGTTAAAGTCAGCAGGCTTGGGCTCTGCCAGTAACTCTCCTGTGATTTTGGAGGATTAGCCTTTTCCCTAGACTCAGTTCTCTCGTCCATACAGTTTGGAAGGTGGAGTAACTGCTCTGCTGTCCAAGGAAAGCTATGTCTGTTGTGTCAGAGTGGACAACGACCTCTGCCTGGCTTGCACCTACCTTCAGTTCCTCAGGAAAGGGCTTCTCTTCTGCCAACTTCCCCACTTCCGGCATAGTTGTCAGGAACAGAAACTCCTGTTTGGCATTGTACACTGGAAGACAGAGAGGTTAAAGTGTGTTCTCAAAGAACAACAGGCACACAGAACAATGGGACGGAACAGAAGCCCCAGAAATAGACCCACATAGAGATGCCCAACTGATTTTTGAGAAAGGTGAAAAAACAATTCCATGGAGAAGAACAGTCTTTTCAACAGATGGTACTAGAGCAATTAGACATTTAGAGACAAAAAAATTGAACCTTTATCTAAACCTTACGCCTTATTAAAAAATTAACTCAAAATGGAGCACAGACTTAAGTGCGAAACACGAAACTATAAAACTTTTTTTAAAAAACAACAGAGGAGAAAATCTACTCTGTGAAACCCATTTGAAGAAGAGGAAGAAACAAGCTACAGACAGGGAGAAAATATTTACAAACCACATTATCTGACAAAGGACTAGTATCTAGACTATATAAAGAACTCTCAAAACTCAACAATTAAAAAAAACAATCCAATTAGAAAATTGGCAAGACATGCAGACATTTCATGTTATAGGACATACACACAGGAAATAAAACACATGAAAAGATGTTCAACATCATTAGCTGTGAGACAAATGCATATTAAAACCACAATGAGATACCATTACACTATTTATCAGAATGGTTACACTAAATAAATAGTAAAAATACCAAAAGTCTGGTGAGGATGGGGAGAAACTTGGTAAGTGGAACAGCAAGTCTGGAAAACGTTTTGGCAGTTTCTTGAAAAACTAAACATGCAACTACCATACAACCCAGCAATTGTACTCCTCAGCATTTAATCCAGAGAAATGGAAGTTTATTCACAAAAAAAAACTGTACACAAATGTTCACAGCAGCATCATTTGTAATAGCCCCAAACTGGAAACAGCCTGGATGTCCTTCAACAGGTAAGTGGTTAACAAACAGTAGAACATCCACACTGTGGAATGGTACTCAGCAATAGGGAAGAATCCACTGAAGCAAGCAACAGGTTGGGTTGCATACACCTGGCCATATGTTGAGGATCAGAATCCTTAGTCCTGAAGCCGGAGACTTACTCTTCTCCAGGAAGAATTATGTTGAATGAAAAAAGCCAATCCTAAAAGGTCACATACTGCATACACAACATTCTTGAAATGACAAGATTACGGAGAGAACAGACTAGTGGTTGCCAGGGATCAGGGGTATAAAGGGAATGTGGAGGGACTCTGCGGAGACAGAAGCAGTCTGCATTTGACTGCACCCAGGTCGGCATCGGGGCTGTGATTCTGCGCTGCAGCTCTGCAGGATGCTACCACTGGGGGAATTGGGTGAAGGGAACACAGGATTTCTCTGTTGTTTCTTACAACTGTATGTGACTCCACAATGATCTCAAAATAAAAAGTTTAATTTAAAAAAATCCAAGTCAAATTAGGGCTTACAGAAATTGTTCTTGGGGAAACCTCTGGCGTAGAATTTAAGGATAATCTTTAACTCTCTGTAAACAAACATTTACTTTCAAAATTTTGCAAAGCCTAATACATAATTAGAAAGAAAAATTAGGTATCGAAGCATAAAAATTGGTTATACAAAGGTATGTTTCACTTTTTTAATTTAAATTAAAGCCTTCTCCTCTTGGGTCATTAATACCCACACTTAGCACACAGTTGTCCTGCAGCCCCATACCTGGCTGGCTGTTAAAGGTCCCTCCCTCTCTCCTGCACGCACTCCTGCACTCCGAGTGGCCTATCCGCCCTCCTGCTCTCTTCCCTGCCCAGGAAGGATGAACACATCCTATGAGTACCCTAACCATAACAATACTCGATTCTAATGCAATCTCTCTGCCGCACATCTTATGAATCTCACTAGAATCTTTCTTCCTTTTTTCTATGGTTGAGTCTACATGCAAACCTAACCAGAGCTGCATGCAGGAGCTATTCTGCTTTACTGCAGATAATGACAAAGAGCACTATATATGCCATAAAAATAGACCAAGGCATCAGTGCTCTCCGCCCCAGGGCTCTGGGACACACTTTAGGGGCTCCCGGAGACTCATGTGTCTGTCCATCATCCTCCATCACAACCTTGTCACCTTTGAACCTCTTAGCACTGACACGCTAACTGGGTTTCATAGAAGCCTAAGCTTCCTTAATAACATTTGATAGGGAAATGTATCCTGAAGTCCAAATAACTGACAATGAACTTTTGAAAAGCAACCTATTTCATACCTCAGAACCACGTAGAGTGGCTTTGGCAGCCGTGAAGTATCTCACCTTCTGAAACCACACACACTACCAATCAGTCCCTAATTTTAACATTTTTATGATTTTAAACTTCCTGGTATTTGCTCCCCACCTCACCCAAACCTGATTCAACTAGATTCAGATAAAACTGATTGCATCGTTTACCTCTGAAAATATCTTTTTCTGTTACTTTGTCAAGAGCTGTTTATTTTGAGCAGACACATTGTTCCCACTGTGATCACAGACGGGTCCCTCCCTCCACCTGGAGCCCCAGGAGTAAGTCTCCGGCTTCAGGACTAAGGATTCTGATCCTCAACGTGTGGCCAGGTGTCTGCATGATGATGATTAGCTTACTTTTGTTACAGGCATCATGTTTATAACTTTTTACAAAATGTCTGAATTTGCCAAGTGATGCACTGCTTTGTTTTTCTAGCACAATCACAGCCCCTTCTCTCAGTGACAACACTGTGTACCAGCTGCTGAGCCTCATAACTCCATCACACGTACGTCCTTTGTTCCCAGCACGTGCTGGCGGAGGCGTGCGAGGACAGCCAAGTTGTGGGCTCTGCTCTGAAGTAGCTAACAACCAAACTGAGGGGCTGCCACAAGGCAAAAGATTGGAAAAGGAAGTCGAACAGGAGAGAGAAGAAAATCAGTGTCTACAAAAACACACCAGATCCACAAGGATGTCATTTTTGATTCTGAGTCGTGACATATCATGCCATCAAGTATTCCCATTGCTGAGCGGGATTTATTTCCCTGGGATAAAGTCTAGTTACAACACCTGATCCCAGTTCAACCTGATCTGAAATTTGTAATTTCAGATAGTACTGAAATTGTGCCGAGGATAAATCATTGCCACAAATATCACTGTGGCTCTGTTGCTGAGCTGAAGAGAGATTTTAACACTATAAAAAAATGATAAGCATTGCTTTAAACAGTAGTTCAAGACAAATGTGGTCTCCCCATCAGCTCAAGTGACAAGAGAAATCATGAAGAACAGGTAGGCGAGAAGAAAACACATGCGTCCACTGACTGGGATTCTGGAGCAGGGCCCATTTCCCAGAGGACAGAGCTGAAAGGAGCAGCCCCCAGAGACCAAGGATTCTCCACCTGCTTCACAGGAAAGGGAACCTCATCACAGAGAACACCATTGTGCTTTAAGTTACTTCCTGTGATGATACTTTACAATGGGCTTTTGGTTCAGAAGCAGAAACGCCGTGAACACGTGTGAAATAAACTCCAACATGTGAGAAACCCCACATGGCTAAATGTTTACAAACCTCTTTCAGTTTCCTGCACTGTTCCAAGATCCATCAAGGCTGACCTTGATCTGCCAGGACCAGACGCACTACACCACAGTGCCCCAGGGCAGGACCCCAGGAGGAGATGCCGACACCAGCCCGGCCCAAGGCCCCCTCTGTTGGCTGCAGGGGTGGGTGCTGGGTGTGTGACTTCTCTGGATGCTTGGGCCCGGTTTATCATCCAGACTGGGAAGACAGACTGCGTGTCAGCTCGCTTTCTTCGTCGGAACTCAGCTACTGGACAGCACCTCCATGATCCTTACCAGGAACTTCTGGACGGTTAAGATCCTGGGTACATCAAGCAGGCTGCACTGTGCTGTGGTAACCACCCCTAATCTTCAGTGGGCCGACAACAGAGGACTCTCACTCCCTAAGTTCACCGTACGCTTCAGGCTGACAGCATCCTCACCAGGCAGCACCCACTTGGAGTAAAGGGGAGTGGGGCGGACTGTGCACTGGCTCTGAAGCCCCCAGGAGCGGCCCATGCCACTGCATTCCCATTTCACTGAGCCAGCACCCGCATGCCACTCCAAACTTCAGAGGGAAGAGGTGCGCCTACTACTGGCCATAAGGCAGACAGCTGGAAATATGTGGCAGGCAGTACTAAGGGTGACTGCAGAGCTTTCCTCCAGGTTTAAAGTCCTCACGCCTTTCGTCTTTCTTCGTAGGTGTGGCCTCCTGTCACTCTTTTTCTCCCCTCCACAAAATCTTATATGGCATCTACACTTTTCTTTCTTTTTTTTCCAAGCCCACAGCACCCAGTGTTTACAAGCAGTCTCCCATCCAAGTACTAACTAGGCCCGACCCTGCTTAGCTTCCAAGATCAGTGTCTATACTTTTCTGGAAACATTCAGCAAACCGGCTACATCAAAGCAGAATGAAACCTTGTTAATCAGACACCAATGGGAATGAGGTGTTCTTCAGAGATAATTCTGCCAGATAATATTAAAACACAAGGCACACATTGTATTTAACTATTATTGATGGGAGCCCCACTAAAATACATTACATATACTCCTACTTTCTTAAACAAAATAAATCATGAACAATTTAACCTCATGACCTGCCTTTTGAGTGCCTTTTTTATGGGGAGGTAACATTTAGGGGAACCACAAGTAAAACCTATTTCTTATTCTCAGCAGTTCTTTGTTTCTCTTTCCATTTCCCCCAACTATGATCTACATTGTGGTTCACAACTGGAACCCACTCCTAGACATTCTAATTCACTTGTTCTCAAGCAGTGGAAGGTTTACAAAGTCCTCCAGATGACTCTGAAGTGTTGCCAGGATGAAAACCACTGCTCTCGGTCTTCGGGAGGGACTGCCATTATTGGCGGCATGTCACTGTGCTGAAGTTGCTGCAGAAATACCCAAACGGTCAAACTGACATAATCATTTCAAATTCCAACAACCCTCAAGAATCAACCCTTGCTCTGATGACGGAGCCCCCGTCCCTGGTATGAGTGTGATACTCCATGATGCACTGGCCACCCCAGATACCTGCAGGTGTAACACTACCTTCCGAGGCTATATAAATCTCACAGGTTTTCTTTCCCAGGAGGGCCCCTGGAATAGGAGGCAAGGCGTGTGATGACAGCCAGGCGGGGCCCCAGCATCATGTGCCTGCTAACTGTCACTGACGCAAACTGTTCAGGGAGAACCCCCACATGGCTAATTTCAGGATGTCCCTCTTTTCCCTGCAGATCTGCCTTCCCACCTTGTTGTCCAGCTATAGATGGAGTAGAGCAGAGAGAGGATGGGGCAGGAGGTAGGGGCCTCGGGCAGCCCTCAACACAGCCAGGGACACGCCCAGGAGTTCTCTGGGGCGAAGCAGGGGCCTATAGTCCACGGGTCACACAGACAGCACAGGCCGGGAAAACTGCTGGTACAGATGCATCTCTTAGGGCTGCCATCAGCAGAAGGAAGCACAAAGCACCATGCAGAATAAAGACCCAAGTGTCTCCCCATCAAAAGTGCTCAGGACCCTCCACAGCTGAACAAGTCACCCCCCACACCTGCATTAACTCCTTGTGCCCACCTGCCTGGCCACTGAAGGGAGTGGCCTCAGGGCTGCAGAGCACATCGCACCTCCCTGCACACGCCCAGCACTTCACCCATCACGGAGTGCCTCACCATGCTCAGGCCAGTGGAAGAGGCTGCCAGAGCAGGCACTGTGTCCACTTTGTAGAAAAAATATTGGGGCTTAGGTAAGCAAGTGACAATAACATGAAGTAGAATCAGCAATTCTGAAACTGAATGTGACACCCTTTACAAGTCCTCATCTGAAGGCCTATGTAAAGGGGAGTTAAAAAAATCCTCCAAGACAACCTGACACCATACTTTTAAACGACCCTCCTTCCACTGCACTGAGCGTGACCTTCAAACACGTGGCCACCAGTGCAGAACACGAGATGGCATAGTGACTGTGCATCTGTTATGATGACATGAGGCAGAGAGAATTCCCAAACCAGGAGCATGCAAGACACCTCACTGCAAGGCATATGGCCTTGCTGGAAGGGGCCCTGCTCCCTGCTCCTCGGGCACCACCCTGGCTTCATCCACAAAGAACACCTTCCACCCTTGAGAGACGGTGCTGAGAAAGGATCCTTCCATCCTTTAAACTGCTCCTCTGACACCTCTGTAACATGAAGGATTTGGATGTCATGACCTCTAAGGTCCCTGCTGACACTAAGTCCTTAGATTCTGTGACAGAGGTCTTCTGTGCATGTACCTAGGAACCGTGTTACAGCAAGGTGAGAATTAGCCAAAATTCATCCCACCACAAAGCATACTTACCATCTGGGTCTTTAAAGGTCAACGTGATGAACTTGCTAGCCACCATGAACATGAAAATCACCCAAAAGCATGCGGCCAACAGAAGCCACTGGTGGTGCATGTTGTCAAATGTCAGCCATTCAACGATTTTCCTGGAAAATACAAGCAAGATGCCCCTGCTGCTTACCAATAAACCAATTAAACAAAAAGTAATAAAGAGAAAAGGTGATTTCGGTTAACAGTATCAGCAAAAATATTTAATTTTTTTTTCCACTGCTATAATAGGTAATTTGACTTGGCATTTAACATTTCATATTTAATTAATATTATTAAATGATCGATTTAATAATAAAATCAAATTTAGAACACCTTTACGGAGGGGAGTGATAATGAGAATGCCATCTCTATTTGTTTTTGGAACATGGGATAAGATTTTACTTTTGCAGATTTGCCTCCTGACTTCTGCTGGGCCCAGGTGAATGTCGTGATGAGCTCCCGCAAGGGCCTGGAGGAAGGTGGCAGGAGGACTGTCGGCGACTAGACCTTTGCACAGCGGGCAGAAGCCACACTGAGGCAATTACGAGCTGGCTGTGCTTAAAATCCTGACTGGCTGACAACACGTGGCCACACAGAGACTCTCTCTAAAATCAAAGTAGTGAACACATGCTTCTCTCCTGTGTCTTACTTGCCTGTGAGGGCCTGTGCAGAACCTTGTGGGTGGGTGTCTTTCATGCTATCACAGCCCAGGAGTGACGTGGAGCATGTCGGTCCTCAGCCTGGCACAGAAGTCACGCTCTGCTGCAGGGGACACATAAAGAACCAGGAAGTCACCATCAATTCTCAGCAAGAGAGACAAAAAAGTGTGTTTCATTTCACCTTCAGCACAGTGCTTCTTCAAGGCAAACCAGACCACTTACAGTCACCACCCTGGACTGGCTTGGTTCCCACCAGCTGATCGGGCCATCTATCACTTCTGGGCAGCAGAGAGAACTGGTCTTCATGGTACTGATGGCAAATGACTTTGGAGACAGCTTCCCAACCCTGCATGGGTCACAGCTCAGCAAAGACCCAGGTAAATAACTCTCCTCGTTGTCTCAACATTTACATCCTAGAATCTGACTGGAAGCAGGCATTTGGAACCTGAGTGCCTTCCACAACACCCAACACCCATTAGATGTGGTAATCTAATCCACATCTGACTACAGCCTGCAACAGGGCGCTCAACACCTGCCAGGCCACCTGCGCCTTTACAGGACGGCCTGTGACCCACCCTCAGATGCCCACGTATAAGGCTTTGTGTTTCCTGGAGTCAGCAAGTAGAGTTGCCAAAAAAAACACAAGATGTCAGTTAAGTTTAAATTTCAGATAAACAACAAATAATTTTTTTAGTATGTGTCAAATATTGCATGGGACACGCTTAGGAAAACAAATAATTTCTTGTGCCCACGCATTAGGCCCGGTGTGTTCTTTTGGGTTCTCAAGTAGCATTCCCAGATCAAACAAGTAAAAATACAGGACACTCAATTAAGTTTAAATTTCAGGTAATTTTTTAGTATGAGTATGTCCCAAATATTGCATGGGACATACTTACACTAAAAGCTATTTGTTGTTTTCTGAAATTCAAATTTAACTGAGCATCCTGTAATTTATCAGCAACGTGACCCAGCAGAGTCATGCCGAATCCCCTCTAACTGCCTGGAGCTAATGTCCTGTCTCTGACAAGTCTCCTTGTCCTCTGCCATTCCTTGTCACGGGCAGCACAGCACAAAGTAAAAAGCCCCAGACTTAGTTCAAATCCCTGCTCTACCACTCACTAGTTCTGTGACTTAGCAAGTCGCTTCACCTCTCTAAGCCTCTGGTACAAGGCCCTCCTCCCAGAGTGGCTCTGAGGATTAAATGAGTCAATGTAGATAAAAGAGCCAGGACCCACCCAGGCTGGTGCAGACCCTTAACAAACATAAGCTGACCAGTTCCTTGGTGTCCTCTGTGACTTTCTGATTTAATTTATACCCTTCTAAGTGTGGTTGCCGGAAATTAACACAATAGCATGGTCTGTTCCAAGAAGAGAGGAAAAGAGGGCACTCTCATCCCAGGGGACTAACTTTACCTTCTAGGGACGACTGAGGCTTAGACTGTGGCCAGAGGATGCAGGGCCCTGAAGTTCTGAGTCCACTGAACTCACTTGAGACAGTGACACTTGGAGGGGTCCATTCCCATCCGTCCCAGTGGCAACACCCCACTGAGAAACCCCAGCTGCAAGCTTTTACTCACTGAGGAACAGAGGGCCGGTGTGGGGGGGTGCCGGGGGCGGAGATTGACAAAGGTGGGAAGTATCAAGCAGGCTGTATGCGATTTTGCAGAGAAGTTCCGGCTCTGAGTGGCCTGCAGCTTGCAATCCACATTCTCCCAGGATAAGTGCTGTGACGAGGGGACATAAGAGGGGAGCAGCCTGGGCCTGCCTCCCTCTGGCACACAGACGCACTCACTCTGCAGGCAGGCAGGGGGACCTTGGCACTGCCCACTCTGGGTGGCTGGGGCTGCTCATTTCCTGCATGCCTCTCGGCCTTCCCTGCCCCTGAGCACTCTGTGCAGTAGGGGGAACCTGCGGCCTTGGGGCCACATGTGGCTTTCTGGATCCTTGAGTGTGGCCTTTTGACTGAATCCAAATCCTTTTAGGATTTATTCTGTAAAATTTGGATTTGGTCAAGGAGCTGCACTTGGGGATCTGGAGGGCACAACCTGCAGGACTCCTACCCCTACGCCAGGTGGCCTAGGGGTAGGATTTCTGTATCTAGGCTGGTTGAAAAGTCAGAGCTGCACTATCCTGAAGCCATACTGGCCTTCCTAAGTATTGGATTTTCATTTAAAGTCAGGAGCTCTTAGGTTCTTTTACCCAGACGGGGGTTGGGGATTGGTCTGTACTCCTCTTCTCCACCTAGCTGGGTGGGCCACTGAAAAGCTCTTTGGGCTCCAAATTTCTCGTCTGTAAGGATAAAACAGCCACCTACACACGCCCCAGTGTGTTGTGAGGCTCCCAGGAGACAGAGAGACTGTCAAAAGACCTCTTCAACAATCATGTGACTTACAATACATGATCCAATGTGTTCTTTCAGGTGGGAATTTTATTTTCAAAAAAGTTCAATTTCTAATGTGACTTCCATGAACTCTACTGAACTAAGACATCTAGACAGCCCCCTCCCATCCCAGCCTGGTACTGCATCAGGCAGGAGAAAGGCAACCTGCAGGGCTCCCACCTTCCTTCCATCGCCTTCTTGGCTCACCTGCTGCTTCTTGTCCCTGGGATGGTGCTCAGGACACTTGGGGATGCCAACTGGGGGCTGTGGATTTGGAAAGCTTCACATGCACAAACCCTAGCCCCTGCCAATCAAAACCATTCTCTTGAGAAGAGCATTAAACCCCAGGCTCCTAGCAGTGTCTCAAGCACAGCCACCCAGACCAGAATGCTGCCTGCCAGTGACTCTGTGTCTTGCTGCAGGGACCCTTGTAGGCCGCAGGGCCTGCGGGCGGTCAACATGGAACCTGGGAGGGAGCTCTCAGGAGCTGCTCCCAGCCACTGGGCACCTGTAGACTTGGAGTGAGCAGGGCCTGAATCCTTCTCCATGGGCGGCAGCGGAAGAGTCAGCTCTCCCTCACATTGCCCAGCTAACGCCCCCAATGCCAATCTCCATCACTTGACCTTGGTCCATTTCCTTCACTGCACCTAGCATAGCCTGAACGCTTTCGCTGGGTATTGTCTGCTCCATTAGCAGAATGTGAGCTCATGCTGGTCAGGACAGCAGGGACCAGAACAGTGTCTGGCACACAGTAAGCCAACAATCGCTACTGCTAAATGACTGTCAACCAAGCAACTTATTTGGAAAACTCAGGAGAGCAGAAAGGTACTTTAGGAGGCAGCTCACCTAGGCTTCTACCCAAGGGTTTCCAATTTTTTAAGTATGAGGACCCCTTTTAACCTTAAAATATTTCTCTAGTCTACCCATGAAAGTAGTTACATATTTAATATCCATTAACTGAGACTAGAAAACAACCAAATGCTACCAGGACTTCAATATTGCTTGAAAGCAAAATTACATAAGTCCCTGCATGTATATGCATTTGAATACACATACTACCTAAAATACATTGATTGGGAGTTAAGAAATCATGCCAGAGTCCAAAAAATTATTTTTAATTTTAAGTAAAACTCTATCCTGAAAGGCAAGCCAATTATATAGATCCAAAGTGTCAGAATATAGTAGTAAACAAAAAAGATAAGGATTGCAGGATTGAATATATGATTTGTCAAAAAAAGTTGCATATGTGTGAATGTATATGATTATATATACATACAAATATATGTAATGCACAGAATAAAAGCTTTAGAGGATGAAGAAAGGTCTTTTTTTACTTCACACAATTTATATTTTTAAACAAATGTCTGCAGTAAGCATGTATCTTTTTATAATAAAAACCAATAAAATATAGACTACACCACCTACGGGTGCTCTGGTGTTTCTGTTTCTGCTATTTAATTTTTTCTACCTTACTACTACTAACTGCAGCTCCTTTATTACTTTATAAAGTATGGGAAAGGATGGGAAATACTTTTCTAGCCAGGAAAAAATGTGGGGAACTGACAAAAATCAATGTCTGAGTATTTAGTAAATACATTTTTGTCTTCATTAGTTTTTATTTAGTTTTAAAAAATGGTTAATTATTTAAAGCATAAAGAAAAGCATGGAAAATAATGTAACAAACACCTGTTTGCCTACACACGCTGCTCTAATGGTTTTGCTGAACTTACCTGAGAGGTTTTTTTAAGGAAATAAAGTGTTGTAAATATGGCTGGAACTGCTGCCTGCCCCTGCCTCACCCTACCCTCCGCCCTCCCCAGAGGTACCCCTTGTCTGGGTGACCGTACTTACACCAGATATAACTCCTCTGACAGAAGCAGCAGCAGGAGGTTTAGGAAGGTGGGAGATAAAGGCAGAGAAGACTGGGGAAGGTGGAAGGCCAGTTTACCCAAGGCCTGCAAGGAAGCACTGCACTACCTGTGGCTACTTTCTAGAGAGGCAAACGCCACAGGGGGAAGGTAGGAGGAAGGCCTGGGGTGGAAGGAAACAAAATATTTAAGCATTTATCTTTTTTTTCTCCTGGTCTATAGTAAGAAAATTCACAAGATAACTCAAGTGAAAAAGCTGTAAAGGTAACCTGGTCAAAAATTTAGACAAATTGGGAATTATTCTCCAAGTCACATCCTACATAAGCCAACCAAAACCAGTAAGACCACAGCCTGGTTTCCTCTCAAAATACCCTCTGCTCTCACCTCCAATATCTCTACAGTTTATAACATATAACCCTCAAACATGAGTAGGTGTGTATCTACATATATGTTTAAGGATAAAATAACCTAAAAATAATTATTTATCGAGTTCTTCATGAAATGGTATATTCACTCATCCAATAAAATAGGTGCCAGGAATATGACAGTGAGTCCTAAACCAAACACACATAGTTCTTGTCCTTATGGAGCTTGCAGTCTAACAGAGAGACCCTCACGACTCAGAGAATTCATCTGAGAAGTGGCGCACAGTGGCGAGAGGGACACAGGTGCTATGATAAGAAAATACAAGGGGACATGCCCTGGGCAGAGAGGTTGGGGCCAACACAGGTGCCTAAGGTGAAGGGCTCAGGCTCTAGGCCAGGAGAACAGGCCCCTGGGTAACGAAAGGAAGCCCAAGTGGCCAGAGTTTCTGGAACATAGTCAGGGATGATGCAGAGCAGATGCAGGCCAGACAGTACAGGGCCTCACAGAGCCATTAAGGAATTGAGTCTTTTCCTTGCAAGCAATGGAAGTCACTGAAGAAAGTTTTACATGAAAAGAGGGGTGGCAGTGTCATGATCTGATTTAAATTTTGAAACGATTTCTCTGGAAGCAGAGTCAAAGATGGAAAGAGCAAATGTCCACCCAGCTACTGCACAGTCTCAAGGTCATTTGCATTCATGGAGGAGGGAGTATTCTAATCAGGCACAAGCAAACCTGGCTAGGTGTTCCACATCATCGTATCATGGTGTTCCTAAAATCCAGCAAATGAACTACTAGAATCCACCATATCTGATACGGTGGGTTTTGATGAATTCTAAAGAGTGTGTGTCCAGCTAACCATGGTATAACTTGCTTTGAGATTACATGCATTCTGAATCCAGACGTCTCCCTAATGGTGTCTGGCTTTATGTCTAGGGCAGTGAATCACAGCCCTGGCTGGACATTAGAGGGATGCCTTTAGGAAATACAGCAATACCCTGGGCCCCAAGAACACCCTAGCCAAGACAACGCAAATCTCTGGAGGTGGCACCTGGATGTGTTTCATAAGCTCTGAGTATGATTCTAAGGAGCAGCTGGGACTGAGAACTGCTGGTCCAGGCCCCAGCCCTGCTTAAAGTTTAACGAACACATGAATCCCCCGGGGATCTTGTTAAAATGCAGATTCTAGGCATTCTAGCGTAAATGCTATTCTCCCACCACCTCCTTGCATCTTAAGAAGGAAAATTGGCAGCAAAAACCCATCTAGTCAAGGAGAGTCTATTGACACTCTGAATTACATGTGTTCTGAATAAACAGCTTAAAGAGGTTTAATTAGAATCTAAGACCTTCCATCACTGCCCCCATCTCACTCTCTTTTCTAGCCCTCCCATCTATAAGTAACTAGACTACAGAATGAGGATTTGTCTGACCTTGGGAAAAAACATGATAATTTGCCCATTTTTCAAACAAAAAGAAAAGCATTCCAAATTTACTTAGCCCCAGCTCCTCTAAGGCTGTCCCATTCTCTGCACTGTTTCTTTGAATACAGGGTGTTTGCCGCCTGTCTGAAGATGACATCACCAAGGCTCACTATTAACAGTCCCCCCTCAGGGCTCTGCTAAGGGTTGCTGCTCTCCCTACAGCCAGGTGACAAATGGCCTTAGAAAAATCTGACATTTTTCTGTAATTAACTACATTTTATTCAAGGAGTCAAGACAACTCCCATGTGCCTCCTGCAGCTAATGGTGGTAGCAAACCTGAGCCTGCCCCACATCCCCTCTAGTCATAATGCGCCCCTGAACAGAGCCCCTCGGCAACCCCAAGAGTTACATCCATTTTTAGAGTTTTCCTACTTCCAGTTATCAAATGGGATTTTCATGTGTCATGATATCAGGATCCGAAACCAGATGGTCAGCTCTTTGAAAACCCACAAGGCAGACCTGGCAGTTAAGGAAATTAAGAACTTATGGGGAAAACAGGGTCAGGGAAGAAAGAACTTGCAAGAAGCCCTAATCCCTCCCACCCCCTGCTCTCTCTCTAAAATAAAAGAAAGACAGCACACATTTTACATGCTTGTTATTACTAACAACGGATATGCTACTACTACCATCTTTGGATGCACATCCTCCCTCCCTTGCATCTTTAAAAAGATGCCTGTAAATTCATTTTGCTCAGCTGCCAATAACATTTCTTCCCACCAGTGGTTTTCCCACCATGTTTGAGTTGTCATCCAGAAGCACATGCCCTTCTTACACTGCTGAAGAGTTTGAGTCCCACCTGCCAGGCCCTACTTTTAGTATGCACATTTGCTTATTAAAGGTTTTGAGAAATCCCATGGTAAATAAGCCCATTTAACCCAGTCTAAATAGCCTTTTTCCAGACGTTCATTCATTCAGCAATATGAACCAAAGCCCTCCTCTCAGCTGGTGGGGGTACAGCAACACACATTCCCTGCTCTCATGGGGCCATAAACAAACAGCGCGATGAATGCATACAACCAAGCCAGGGAGCAGGTGCAATGGCTAGCAATAAAGAAGGGTGCAGGATGACATGGGAAGAGGGAGGGAGGGACTGGAGGGAGCAAACCAAGCAGACCCCTGGGCAAAGACCTCGGTCTGGGTCTCAGAATTCCAAAAGCGGAAAGGAGGCCAGTGTCCCTCATGCAGAGTGGAAAAGGGAAAAGGGAGTGGATCAGGTGAGGAGTCTTGTCAATGGCCCTTTACTGAGATGGAAACCTCTGGGTCCCCAACCCTGTCACACAACCTCCCCCTAAGGGATCACATGTCCAGTGCTCAACTTTTAAAACATTCTTTTAAAACACACCCAGACACTAAAGGAAACTTCTTGAATAAAATCTAGTAATGTGCAAGGAATTGGTAACCTTTGGAGAACTACAGGGGAGAAGGAACAGTCCAGGGCTGGAGCAACGGGGATATTTCATCATCAACCCTGTTGTATTTTCTGAACTATAACACATTACCTGATTAAAAGAATTATTAAATCATAACTTAATAAAGCAAACTATGGCATAGGAATTTATACTATAGATAAAGTTCTACTATATGTCACATATTTTTAAATTTATAGTAAGGGTTTCTCTCAATCTATGTTCAAAAATTTCCTTTGTCTTCTCTATTGTCGTCCTTACAATTTACCACCTTGGAATGAGTGATCACCCTTAGTCAGCAGCATGAAAATACACTCTGAGCTCTGTCCAGTAAGGAATATATTTGCAGTTAAGAAAGATTCTCATGAGCAATAATAATAATATACAGCAAACATCTGTACGGGACTCACTGCATGCCAGGCACAGGTCTCAGCAAAGACTAACTAACTCACGTAACCCTGGCCTGAGAGTGTGCTCCTATCATCATACTTAAGAAAACCCTTCTACGTATATGTGTGTATCCTCCTATTCGAGATTTTTAAGTTCCCTAAAATCTCTGCATAAGCAAGGAGGGAGAAACAGTACTGAATGGCATGGTCTCAAATAACTGGGGAGCTCACATTCTCCTTCACATACCTTCTGAGGCCTGGGGTCACATTTCCTTGCAGTGTTTGCCCTGACTGAGGTTCCTGGTTCCTCTTGTCACTGTACAGGATAACTAAAAAAAAAAAGTGTCATTAAAAGGTATAAGATCAACTTACTTAACACAACTTGGTATATACTTGGGAGATAGTTAACCACTTTGATTATTCAAGCATATTTTGCAAAACAGGTATCCTATAAAGGCAGGATATATTGGGATTTCTTGGTAAAATGAATAAATATTCTAAATGTACCAAAAGAGCTAGCTGTTTAAAAAGACTCTTCCATGTAACTTAATGTGAAAAATATTTTTTGTAGCAAAAATCATCAAATCCAATTATACCTGCTTTACATGTTTGATGCAGGTAAAGGATTCCTGTATAAGATTATCAAATTTTCCAATACAATATATTCTCTCAGTTTTGTATTCCTTCAACCTTTAGCACCTGGCAAATTCTAGCCAAATGTCATATAATGAATGAATAATTGGAAATAAGCCAAATTCACGGAATTAGATTATTGATTTAAGAGAATTAGTTAGCAAAATAAACATACAATTCATTTAACATACAATACAGTCCAAGCAGACTGGGATACACAAAGCACGGTCTAGCTGTGCTTCCTTTTACTCTAAGAACTCAAAGCTAAAATTAAAAGCAATTTCATGTTATGTAGATTGAAAGATTAAGCTTTATATAAAGTCAGGCATCGCTTACGACAGGATACATTCTAAGAAATTCGTAGTTAGGTGATTTTGTCCTTGTGTGAACATCACAGAGTGTACTTACACAAACCTAGATGGTACAGCATACTACACACCTAATGGCACCGCCTATTGCTCCCAGGCTACAAAGCCATATAGCATTTACAGTACTAAATACTGTAGGCAACCATGCACAATGGTAAGGATTTGTGCATCTACACACTGAAAAGGTAGAATAAAAATACAGTATAATCTTATGGGACCACTATCATGCATGGTCTCTCATTGACCGAAATGTCATTATACAGCACATGACTGTACTCATGTCCAGATTTTTCCAGACCTGTATGAGAAGAAAATGAATTCCTTGGTTTCTGCAATCTCTAAGGTCCTGCATTCACCTCTCTCCTCTGTTCCTATTTCTGGCTCTCTCCCACCTTTTTACTGAATAACCTTCTCAATCATTTGAAAAGATGCTTTGAATATCACTGCAAGTTGCTCATGATATTTACTAATTCTTTCTTTGTTCAGTTTTGCTAGCACTACGATTTTCATTTCAGGGAAGGAAAGAATTTTTCTCTCAGGTATTTCTTCAAGATTCTATTCTTCAGGGTCAAGAGCAAAGATGGAAAGATTTTCTTTCCATTTTAAAATTCTAATTCTGAGCTAAGATGGACTGTGCCGTAATTATAATGGGCAGAAGGGAGAAGACCACTTCTCTCTTTTTATGTCTTTTCTTTTTAACCCAGTCACTGAAAAGAGTGAAGAAGTAGATGGCTGGTGATCAGCAAGCTGGAGCTGAATCAGTGGTGTCTGAGACATTTCTCACTCTGGCAATTAAAACTGAGCAATGCAATAATCCAACTCCTCATGCCCCAAAGCCCCAGACTTCGGTGTTTCAGACAAAAAAAAACCCTTTATGACAGTCCTGCTGCATAGCTAACCAGAACCTGGCTGTGCTGCTTTCTATTCACTGCCCAGCCCTTTCCTGCCAGTCTTGGAAAACCTGGCTCACCTTCCCAGACAGAAGGGCAGAAATTCATGCCTCAACCTTCAACTTCTGACAGGCCTCCCGACAGTGAAAATGGGAGGCTGAGGGCACTCTGGCGCTTGTCTGGCAGGGAATGTGCATTTCCAACCCTGCCTACCCCTCGCACCCACCAAAGCAGTGCTCCTCGGAGAGGCTGCACATTTGCACATGTTCCTGCTTCCGTGCCTTCTCTCCCTCCCTCTCTCTCTCTCTCTCTCTTTCTCTGCCTGCTCCTTTCACCCCAGTGGAACATTTTCTTCCTCTTTCCGCCGCCAATTACAAATGCAAATTCTCAGGATAAGAGAAGTAAAATTACAGGATCGTCCAAGTATCAATAACTCCGCCGACCACAGCATCCGCGTGCACACCTTAATGCATAATTAACGTGATGAAGGCTCTGCCCGTTAATCCCACGAACTAGGGAGGTCCTCAAGTCGCCAAAACACACCAGGACGTGGCTCGCCAGGAAAAAAACGGTTCTCCTATTTTTCCGTCCACTGAGGGTTGGGGTAGGGGTCCCGGGTGCACTGAAATCCACCCTCCCCGCGGGTCCCCAAGCTCACCCTCCGTGGAGCCGGCGCGCGCCTGAGTCCTCAGGCTTCTCCCGCGGCCTGGGCGAGAAGCTCTGCTCGGGCCTCGCCGGGCCTGTGGGCGAAGCGCGCGGGGTCCCTGCGTCCCGGGAGCGCGGAGGCCCGCCCCGCCCCGCCCCAGGGCACCGTGCCGCCGCCGGCGGCCCCTGCGCCGCGGCCCGACTGGCCCCGGGATGTGGCTGTGGCGGCGGCGGCGGCGGAAGGAAAGAAAAAGCGCAGCGCGCAAGGCCGCCTCCCCTGGGGCCAGGCCGCCGCCGCCCCTCGCGGCCCCCGCGCGCCTGCCCGGCCGTGCGCGTCCCCGGCCCGCGCGCGTCCTCGCCGTCGTCCCCGCGTGCGCTCCGCCCGGGCTGCTGAGGAGGCGCGGCCGAGGGTCTCCAGGCCCCGGTCCCGCCCACGGCTTCGCCTCCTCTGCTGCCCTGGAAACGCGTTCGGTCCCAGGAAACCAAGTCCCGCCCGGTCTCCGTACAGAAAACAGGATTCCTGTTTGAGAAAAAAAAATCCCGAACTTGGGAAAATGCAAAAAGTTGGTAAATAATTATTCTTTTTAAAAAATCCCCAACTTGGAAAAAGGCCAAATTGCTTGAGTTTGGGTTACCTCCCAGCGTTTTCTAATAAGCCCACCTAGTAAACGCAAGACCTATTCTTTAAGAGCCGGCTGCCTGTCTTGGCGATGTAACTCTGTCATGGTGTAGTGGATTAACAAATGATAACTGTTAAAGGCCTGAATGGTTTAGAGGCCTACACAGTTGTTAACTTCTTAAACTGCAGAAACGGATAGGCTTTGGGATTTTAGAACCTGAAGGAAGAGTCGATCCCAAAGGTATTTGGGTTTTATTGCCCTTAAAAAGGTAAACTAGTTTTATTTTGATCTAACCTACATGTTTGTTAACTACCCAACCATGTCTATATCTATCTAGCAAGTAGATAAAATTGATATGTTTATGTATACACACGTGCATGCACACATAAAATTTTCATCGAGCTATCAAGGAACCGGCTTTTTTTTTGCCTTCACTGTTGGTTTCCTCATTAATGAGTTAAATATAATATCGAGGAAGCTCACTGAATTTCACTTTCAGCACCATTGCTAGCCATCGTGGTTTCAAAGATGACAAAGTGGTTCCCTCGGTCTTTTGGTCCCTCATTCAGAAGATGCTTTTTGGGGGCACTGTGGTTGAGATGAGACATTTGATTTCCCTTTGAAGATTTGAATGGACATTCATACGTGGGAGAAAAGCAGCAAGTAAATTTGGAACTTAGATATGATGTAGCATATTATGCAGGATTTAAGAATCCAAGCTCTGGGAATGAACTGAATCATTTGGGGATTCAAATCCTTATTCACCACATATACTTGTGACCTTGTCAAGTTCTTTCATCTCTTGTGCCCCAATTTCCTCATGTATAAAATGGAAAAAAGTATATAGCATTTGCCTCAGGGGGTGGTACTGAAGAATATTGGAGATGATGCATTTAAAGTACATAGCACAGTTCTCCCCCAGTAGTAAATATTGCAATAAACACACACTGTTGTCATTATTATTATTTATTACTGCATTCCTACGATGTTAAAAATATTAAAAGATGTAGTTCTTTCTAGAGGCTTACATATTCGCAGCTAAAGTAACTGAGTATTTTTCTTGGAATTTCCCCAGATTATTCTAGTTCTTTTTGTTTCCATAAATGAACTTCCAGGAAAATACTGGTATTTAGCCTCTATAGCAGCAGGATGGTTTCTAAAGTAGCACTTCTCAAAGAGTGAACTGTGAACTTCTGAGGGGTCTCCAAGATCTTTTTAGGGGTTCTGCAATGACAAAACTGTTTTCATAGTAATACTAGGACATTATTTTTCTCCTTTGCTAGGTAGACATTTGCTCTGATGGTGCAAAAGAAAGGATGGCACTTAGCATGAATCCCAGCAGTGGAACAAAACTGAATCAGTAGTCGTTTCGTCCTTCACCATCATGCACTTGCAGTAAAAACAAATAAAAAATGTCATTGTGAAGCGGTCGTATCCCTTGTGATGGGATGGGAAATGCACAGAAGCGCTCCTGCTGCATCACAAAGGATGGTGGTTGTGTGGAGGCCACAGGCTTGGGTGATGGTTTGCAAAGCAGAACAACTAGCTGCTCTTTTTCGTGGGACATTATTTGTACTTGAAAGAATGGACAGACAAAATGTGGTTATTCAAATTTGGGTATTAGACAGACATTTCTCCAAAATGAATGAAATGAGCCTGTCACTTCAAGGAAAACCACTGATAGTATTTGTTGCCAGAGATAAAATTCAGGCTTTCAGGTGAAAATTCAAACTTTTGGAAAACCTATATCCATCACTGTGAGTTTGACAGCATCCCCATATTTAAAGATTTTTCTGATGAGATCAGAGGTGGTACTAGCAATCTTTTTGTTTTAATATTCTATAATGATCAACCAATTGTGACATAATAAACATATATTTGGCCTTTGACCCTGGTTGCTGACACAAAGCTCCTAAATCTCTTGAAATTTCCTGGGTGATAGGATTGTCTTTTATTCTAATGAGGTAACTCTTCAGATAGGGACTGGTCCGAGGAAAGACAAGGCCTGGATTAGAAGCCTGGAACTTTTGGCCCTATGCCCCATCCACTGGGGAGCAGGAGAGGCTGGAGAGTGACTTAATCTCATCATGCCTACTTGATGAAACCTCCATAAAAAACCCTAAACAACAGGGTTCAGTGACTTTCCAGGTTGGCGAACATGTCCAGGTGCTGGGAGAGGTGTGCCTGGAGAGAGCATGGAAGCTCCGCACCCCTTCTCACATACCTTGCTCCGTGCATCTGTCTCTTTCATTGGCTATCATGGAGTTGTATCCTTTGTAATAAATTCATAATAGCGAGTAAACTTTTTCTGAGTTCTGTGAGCCGTGCTAGCAAATTGTCATAGGGGAGAGTCATGGGAACCCCTGATTCACAGCCAAATTGGGCAGAAGTAGAGATAACCTGGGAACTCTGTACTTGCAACTGGCATCTGAAGTGAGGGAGGTCTTAGGAGTTGAGCCCTGACCTGTGGGGTCTGACTCCAACTCCAGATAGTTAGTGTCAGGATTAAATTGAATTGTAGGATATCCAGCTATTGTGTGGAGAATCAGAGAATTGGTTGTTGGTGTTGGAAAACACCCTAGACCGATGAATTTTGATGTTACAAAGCATGAAATGTTCATTGATAGGGTTTTGGATTCCACATTATACCAACCTTTAAAAAACTACCACTTGTTGAGTTTGGGTGTAGGAACCCAAAATGCCCAAAATTATCTGAAAATATTAAAATACTTCTTTCTTTTTCTACTTAGCTGTGTGAGGAAGGATTTTTTTCATAATCTTTATGCAAAAGAATGTTTATTGTATCAGATTGAATGCAGAGAGAGAGGTATATGATTTCAGCTATCTTCTATTAAGCCAGACATTAAAGAGCTTTGCAAAAAAAGGTAAACAATGCCATATTTGTCTTTTGGAAAATATAGCTATTTTTTCCTTAAAGTGTGTTATTTAAGATATACTGGGAATATTCATTTTTTAAATGAATTAATAAGTAAATGTTTTAAATTTTTCAGTTTGATTTTCCTCATATTGTTAGTATAAATGGATATAATCCAAATTAACAAAAGCTCTTTGGGTTCCTTGATAATTTTTAATAGTATAAATGGGTCCTGAGACCAAAATGGTTGAGAATTGCTGTTCTCATAAAAAACCAAATTCTTAACAGTAAAAGAAAAATACACCAGATTCTTTTACCCTCCCCGCACTACTAAGTGACTATTTCTGAAGTCGTAGCTGGAGATGCCTGGGCTGGAGGTGACACTGGGAAATGATACAAGTTAATCACCAACCAAAGCCTATTGCAATCTGCTTGAACCAACCACAGCCCTTCTGAAAGTGGAGTAATAGAACAGATGCCTCTAGAAAAACCAAGATGTCCTAGGGGGCAGGGAGGAGGTTCGTATGGAGAACCATCATCCTATACAAGTAGGAATTTGCCAGTTCCTCTGAGCCTTCTGTATTAAGATTTTATAAATGCCTCCGCTATTCTTCATTTGGTGTTAAACATGTATGGACTCAAGGTCCTTTAATGCTGGGTGCTAGAATCTGGACTTGTTTTCCCTCTGGCCTGTCCCCCAACTCCTAGTCATGCCACAGAGAAGCTTTTGCAGTTTCCATGTCAGCCAGGGAAAGGGACAATTCCTAGAATCCTGGCTCTCCTATTCCTGAACTCTCATCTCAGGATACATAGTGGGCACCAGTCGCTCAGGTTTCCCTGGGGTTCCTTTAAGAAGTGGATTTAGAAATGACTTCTTAGCCACTCTGAAAGGTAAAGGTAATGGAAAATTGCAAACAGAGAATGTATATTCCAGTTCCTTTCTCTGAGCACACTGAAAATTTACACTTGGCTCCTTTGGTGGGTGTATGAGGAGAAGCTTACCAGAGTTGAAATAGGATTTTGTCCAGGTTAAGGCTTTAGGAGAGCTTTAGTGGCCCCAGCCAGGCATCTCTGGGTAGTGCCAGAATTGTG